GAAGCAGAGAAACATCTAAAGGTTTCAGGACTGAATTACCTGATGATGCATAAAGTTCTGTCTTACAAGATGGTGAGGTAATATTGTGAAAGAAGAGCACACCTCTGAGTCTGCTGTCGGTTTATAAAAGTATAAAACGACGAGCCTTTCCAGGATCAGACACGTAAAAGCATGTTGTTAGTAATCAAAACCAGATTTGTATCTTTGCCATAGGCATCAAGACAATTAAGTGTGTTTACATTCAACTGACTGAGGTGCATTGAATTTGACGCTTTAAGAGACAAACTAGTTCAGTGCATGCAAGACTGAATTTCGTTTTAATTTTTGTGTGTTTTAAGGAATCATCTCAAACTCCTTTAAGAAGAGGAGTTTGAGATGCAGGACTTGTCCTGCATTTAAAGTTGCAGGCCTGGTCCTGCAACTTTTAGATGTTTCTCTTCTTCAGCGTCTGGCTCCATTATTAGCTTTGCAGAGGCTGACTGCATGCTAGTGAAGCAATTCAGACATTTAATTCAAGAGTGTAGAACAACGGACACAAATAAAAGTCACAGGACTTCTGCCTTCAAGGAATGCAGTTTGAGATGACAGGTGTAAAGTGTACTAGCTCTGCATGTGTATTTGCTAAGCAACATGTCAGCTGAGAAAATGTCAGACTAACCAGACCAGCCACAGCGTGACAGAGAGCCATCGGATGTTTGGAGAACGAAGAAGGTCACAGATGTTGTGCACTCTCGTCTCTCCAGTCCTGCCTTCATTCTGTGAGAAAGCAGGAACAACAAATGCTTAGAAAATAGCAATGTCACGAGAGTAATTACTGTGATTGATTAGCAGTCTTGGCAACTTTCATACCTCCACTTTTGGCCAACCTCCAGTAGTTGCAGGTTGGACTTTTTACAAGTCTGCTGAAAGTGGCAACGTTTTTCTCACAGCTTGAACAATCAGAAACAATTCTACAACATCTTGTTTTTGCATCTTCCTTAAGAATAAAAACTACTTAGAATATGCATTAACACATTTTTATCAAACAAACTCCTGGAACCCTGCTGAGGGTCTTGCAGTATTTTTATAAGAAGGAAAATGAAGGGCCAGTGTCTGCACAGAGGAAACTAATTTCATTATTTGTTAATTATTCCTTTTTCAACTTTACACAATACTGAGACCAGGCAGGAAATATTTTCTAAAGGCAAAGTCTCTCAGCTACAAAAATAATTTCCTTCTTAACATACAGTGACTAATACACTATTGGTTTGCTTTAAAACTTGTAAAGAACTGTGTTGTTGTTTGGGTTCACAAAATATATAAAATATATAAAAATATTGCAATATTCCAAATTGCAACCTGTGTCCTACATTTATTTATTTTTTCCAATTTTCTCACTTTATAACCAAAACATTAATGTGTTTTAATTGGATTTTATGCAATAAACAAATAAAGTATCATGTGTGAATTAGAAGAAAAAGGAGGGATGGTTAACAAATTTTTATATCTATTTTTTTTTCAAAAATTATCTGAAAAGTTGAGCTTGAATTTGCTTTCTTTCCTTCTTCATTAAAACAGGTTATAACCTATAACTTCAGTTACAACCGTGTGTGGACTGGTCATTAGGCGTACTGGGGAAATGTCCGGTGGGCCTACGCATTAAAGCAGGGGTCCCCAAGCTACGGCCCGCCTCCTCATTTGGTCCGGCCCCCTGAACAATACCAGAGAGCATTCAGTGTTTTTTTTCATATATATGTGGATTTTTCTTCAACCACCAGGGGGGCTCTTGAGCAGATTTGAAACTTAGTTTCCCTCAATGAAATATATACTAGTCAGTACCAGTCACCGTTTCGCTCACGGTTTTTTTCCATTTGCATTCTGGGTAAAAATCTATCTACAAACGCAAATATGTCGTCGGCAGTAATCCGACTGCAAATGACTCTTTGGACTTTTCACAATGGGTCTTTATTACTCCAAACCAGCTGACAGCATTCAGCTGGTGTCATACCTTCACATTTTCTATAAATAATCATGATGGGCTGGAATGGCTAAAAAGGGCAGTGCCAGTCCAGCCTGGGTTACAAAGTATTCACTTTGAGTGAATAAAGTAACATGTGGCTTTAACTGGACAAAAATGTTTGCAGCACTTATACGGGAATACAAAGGAAGTAGCACAGAAGCCAAACATTACAGCTTACCTACAAAATGTAACAGGACTTGGCAAGAGGATTCAACTCTTGCCAAGAGTTGAATAGTGCAGGTGATGGTGGGTGTTTAATGCTCTGACCTTCAGAGGGCTAAAGATGACGGGTGGAGATTCAATCCTGTTCATCTTGGCAGCATTCCGGATGATGACCTCGGCTTCCTCGACTCTACCCTGGGAAAGCAACCAGCGAGGCGACTCTGGGATGAACCTGATTCGTTTTGCAACATTGTGGACGGAAGGCGAGAGAAAATGAAGACTTCAGTGATGATGCACAGCTGCTATGGTAGGTGATCTGTTTGAGTTTTGCACAGCCATAAATGCACAGTCTTATTAAAGGCAGTTTTATCAGGTACTTACAGTTTCATAATCTAAACAAGAAAATTAGACGTTTGTGAATCAGGAAGAAATATTACAAAGGGAATAAGTTTTGTTTCACATTTTCTGTACCTATGCTAATGTAAATCCATGACATTAGTTGTGCATATTTTTTATGTGCATATGAGTCATATAAGTCGTCACACAAGTCATTTGAATTTATAATATGAAGCATCATATACAAACACTAGCAGAAAACATTTAGAAATAACATTCGGTCATGTTTCTTTTCCAAGCAGCCATTTTAATTTTTGAATAACAGAAAATACATTTAATATTTTTTCCAATTACTGCACCTTGGTATTTGCATTTGTTGAGGTGACTGAGCTCATCTGTTAAGTTTTTATGAATGATGCAGTTCCACATCACAGTAAAAGTATTTTATGTTTATGCTGCACTTTTGCTCATCACTGATAGTTTAAACATGTTTAATTTTATCAATAAATGAAATGAAAATCACACATGAATGACTGTTCATGTGATAAGTCATTAAATATCGTGGCAGCGACGGATGTAAGCAGTTACATGAAAGATATTCATAATTCAGCCTTCAAATGATTATGAACATGGATGGACTAGAAAACAGGAAACTTCACATTTAGACTTCTTTGTGGCATCGCTACAAAAAATTAATGAAACATCTATTTTTCCAAACTTTCCTCTAACCGGCTGCTATATTTCTTAAACATGATACATCTAGCTTTAGTTGTTGTTGTCCCATGCCTCCAGATCCTACAAACATGTTCTTGTGTAGTTTCTGCAATAAAAGTATCATTAAAAAGTTGCCAACCTGGTTTTTAATGGCCTGTCATTCAGAGGTTAAAACAGAAAAAGAAACGTTTGTTAAACAGTAGAACTGGATTGAGGGAAATCCCTGAAGGAAATCTAGAAATCACATTTTAGAATGAGCTGCAACTGCCAAATAACATCCAAGACGGAAAGAAATCTGAAACAAATCTTCCATGAAAAGAAAATCAACTCAAAAACGACATGCAAACATGATACATACCAGAAGAGGGGCAAACAAACGCTGCCAGCCAACATGAAGCCCACCTGAAGCATCCTCCAGTCTCTCACAAAGAATGCAAACAAAGGTAGGAGTGTGTAGCCCACCGCGAAGAAAAGACACACTCCAGCAGTGGAGAAAAAAGTTCGGACCTGAGGACCTAAAATTTCTGCTCCTGAACACAAAAATATATTACATTAAATTTAAATCTGTTTGGGGGATTGTTGTGCACACAGGAACTGACATACCTAGAACAAATGCAACCACGTAATTGGAAATTTGTTCCACTGCAAGAAGAAAATACAAAACGACAAACATGATCCAGCTTGAAGAGAAAATCTGAATCAGTGTTGTGACTACTTGCAGTCCTATGGTACCAAACATCACCATTTTCCTCCCAAATCTGAAATGAACACAAAGCAGAGAGAGGTTCGTGAACAATTAGTTACATTCTGTTGCATTACTGTAGTGAAAGCCAAACCCTTGTTCTACGTTTTGCTCTGAACCCTCGACTACTGAGAAATGATTACTTGCTGTAGGAATGAAATCTGTTGAAGTTTTAAATGATTAGATCTGATTTTATCCAATGGCTACCATAATGAGCCAGCTTGACCAGAGATCTGAAGCTTACTGAAAATGCACAGAAGTGCCGAGGCAAACATCATCTTTCTCACCCATGAGATGTCTGAATGGCTTCAATTACTTTCTCCACTGCTGTTGCTGAATTACAACCATAAGCAGTCTACAACTCCAAAACAGAAAACTAACCATCCTTCAACTCTCACTCTGTTCGCTGATTGTCCTGATTGAAATTCCACCAAAGAAATCAAGTTCAATGGGAGAAATCAAAGATGCAGCACTGAAGCGGGATGAGAAGTAATGGTTTCATAGAATTTTTGACTTGCATGAAGTTTACCTAAATATTTTCTAGATTATACATTTTAAAAAAACTGTATTTTTTAAATGTATAAAACCAGAACAGTGATTGCCTCGGGTTAAGTTCAGTTCTTGTAACAAAATATTCAGTCTGCAACCTGTCGGAGAGCTGTCCTGAAACGAAGGAGCCAGCAAGAATGCCACCGAAAAACAAAGAAGTAGTGAGGGGCTTCTTCCAGCTTTGGTCACACACCAGGTCCCACTGTCAAAAAATAAACACAAATAAGTTAAATTCAGGTTGGTCAATAATTTACAAAAAGGACGAAACAGTAGCAGTTAATGGAGTTAATAGGAGCCTTTACCCAATTTTTATGACAACTTTAAGTGTCCTAAAGTACTTTTGGTTTATCCATTTGTGGACCAAAAATGTTGGGATTTTTGGCCGTAGATTTGATAGGAGGGATATTTACTTTTTTATTATTTTTTAGAACTTGACTTGTTGTCACAGCTGAGTGCAAATATCTTCATTAACAATTTCTATTTTGCATGTTTGGTCGTTTTCATCCTTCACAGAATGGGACTTTTGGGTGTTCATACAGACTCATTCTCAAACAAAGAAAATTATAATTTATTGATTATAAATATATCAAAACTTTCAACCTTGCTTAATGGATTTGGTTGGATTTTGCAGGGGATCTTTATAACCAAAATTTTAAAATCTTCCTGCATGTGAACCTTGACAAAATCCAGCATCATTTAATCCACACACCTCAGAGACGATGGTAGAAGTATACACGCTGTGGTCAAACTCCCATCCGTCCAGACAGCCTTCTTTCGGCACATTAGACAGATTAACGTCGGCTCCAGGCAGCAAGCCTCTCTCCGAGTAATTCAATAAATTCTCCACTTTGTATCTGGAGCACTTGCTGGGCACCAAAGCGCCGTCGCGGTTCGCATCCTCCTCCAGCGGGATGCTGTTGTTCCTCCACGCCGCGCTGAGGTTCAGGTGCGCGGGCAGCGCGCAGCGGTGATCCGGCGTGTCGGCCAGAAACACCACAGACAGCGCAGTGAGTCCATTAGGAATGAAGCTCAGGCAGAGGAGGAAAACGACCCGCCGCTGGAAAGGTCCCCATTCTCCCAGGAAGGCGGTCGCCGCATCATAGTCAGTGATTTTGCTGGTGTCGGAAGTTGCAGCGGGCATTTCGAGGCAGAATCCGGCGCATGGATGAATGTGCGCAGGTTGAGGATTTCTCTAGTTGTGGTTTATTTCCTGCTGTGAATCTGTCCAACCCACAACTCGCTGTGACAAGAAAACTGATGTTTTTTTTGTTTTGTGCTTTTCCTCCGTAAACAGCAAAGTTTCTGATGGGAGTAATTTGTCCTTGATTACGGTGGATCCAGGAAGACGACACGAAAACCATTTAATTTGTTGCGGCCCTAGAAATTAAGTTTTAGAGTTTTACTTTTTAATCAACACCCAAAATTTCTCCAAATTTAACCTAAATAACTTTTTTTAGTAGAGTCCTTTTTCTACCATCTTTGGAGACAGAAAATCAATTTATCTCCTTTAAATCAAAGATCAAGCACTGACTCAGGGTGGAGTCTCAGGGTGGAGTTGGCCCCACACTGGCTTTTGAAGAATTTGTGTCTTTAAGAACTGGGGCAGTTTGACCTTTTTTTAAACTCTTCTGACTGAGTGGAAGAATCGTTTTGGGTTTTTTCCACTCTAGAGGATGCCATTACATTAGATTTTATGATTTATGGTCCACGCTGGGTTCATCTGGTTTCAGATCAGGTGTTTCTACTCTGGGGAGTGGCTGTTTACCCAGGGTGCCATTCCTTAACATATCTTGACAGCAAACCTAAAATGAGCTTTTCTTCTCTAATCATAGTATCTTTTAAACGGTGTGAGACTTCCACAGAACTGCTGCTGCCTGTAGACAGCGACATCTTGATCACCTGGTTTGTAAAATTTACTTAGGATTTTGATACAAAATTAATATTTTTGTGTAAACAGACCTAAAAGAAGTCCCAATGTGTCTTCATGCTGCTACTTTCCTCTTTTCTTAATGTTTTGTTTTAGAGTATATAGGTGGAGGTGCTTCATCTGAGAACCATAAGGTTTGGAAATGCAACTGTTTATCCCGGCTACTATTTTAATCGCTCTTTCATTTCTCTATTCAAGTTACATTTCTGTCCGTTTAATTTCTGTTCTATTTCAAGCAAGCTTAAACTTGCAACTGATAAAAGAAACACACCCAACATCAGTAAATTCATGAACAAGTTGTGGGGCTTCAGTGCAATCTTCACATTATCTTTAAGTGAAATAAAAACACAGATAAAGGTACTTTTATTTTAGAAAGAAATCTAAAATATGGTAAAAAAAAAAAAATGTCAGCGTGACATACTGCTAGAAATCCACTACTGGAGCTTCATCAGTGGTGTGGTGTTACTCTTATTACATTTAGTTTCAGCAACCAGTCACTGGCTTAAAGGTCAGCTGTTCTAATGTCATGATAATTATCTGAAGGAGGAAAGAAACACTCATCACAACTACCAGGTCAACTGAAACTTAACAGACCTCAGCAAGTTAAAGTTTAATTGCAAATCCAATCACCCAACGGGCCAGCTGAATGGTTAATTAGTAAAGGGTTTAATGTCTTTGCACAAAGAGGAGTGCCTTTGAGTTGGATTCAAACCAGAGCCTAAACAAAAAGACCAAGGAGCCGTGGGTTACACATTGCTCAGTAACAGAAGCTGCGTTGTGACCCTGAACAGAAGATACAGTAGGCATTCAGTCTGAGAGAAATGCTGTGTCAAGGCTGCTAAAATAGGTCAGAAGTAAAAGTCTGCTTTATTTTTTTCATGTTTAAAAATGTCTGTAATTTTACACCCAAAACGTTTATCGTAGTTAGACACATATTTAAACTTTATTTGTCTCTCTCTGCTCCTTGTAGATTTTTCTTATGCTTGAGTTGAAGGCCAACTTGTTGCTCTTGCAGAGTAGCTGCAAGAGCAACAAGTTGGCTACAATGGCACATTTCTGTCCCTGAGCTTTTAGCGCCCTCTGGTGGAATCTAGAGGAAATGTTTTTAATCTGGTGAAACACCATTAAAAGACCCGAGACTCTGATGATGTAAAAAGTAATATAAACTAGTTTAACGCTAATGCTTCTCTTGTTTACTTGGCACATAATGACTTCCACTTCAAACTTTATATTTGCATCTATCCTTCTGAATAAAATAAACTGTCCAGGAGTACAAACTTACTTTAAGCTACAATTTAAAGAGGTGTAACTAGGAAATGTGCAGCAGGCCTGTTGGAATCTGAAGTTCATGGTTGAAAGTTAGTTGTGAAGGAAAAGTGTCTGCAAATATAGCTTAGAGGTTACAAGTAGGGATTGATTGCATTAAGATAACTATCTTTTCTATGAATATTATCAAATATGTTTGGCTGAAAATAAGGTCTTTTACATTTCAACATGCATACCTTTTTTATTTGTTGCATCAAGTCATTATTTGAAATTTTAGCTAAATATTTCAAAAACAATGTCCATGCTTTAATAATTCAGAAATTATTCAGAAACTATTTGCATTTATCGATTCAAACGTGGAAACTAACGCTGAAAAAAACTGAGCTGCCTTTTCACTGTCTCTTCATGGATCCTCTATGATGCTTTGCTTAAGATTTCATCACCTTAAACCAGTTTAAATAATTGGTGCAGTGTTGAACTGTTTTGGAAAGTCTTCCTGTTACAGGGAAGTTTTGCTTTTTGGAAAGTCTGTCCTGTATTGATATGGCCCAGCTGAAAATGAGTTTGACACTCCTGCTCTAGGGAGTAGAAATCTGGTTCTCATCGTTTCATCCACATATATTTGCTAACCTGCATCGCCCTGATGGTAGTGTAGATTAAAGCCTTTCTGTCTTAAAATAATTCTCTCCCTTTAAATCAGGTGAACAGCAGACCCAACGTTTTAAAATGAGTAATGTAAATGTTATTGTCTTGGAGTAATTTTAGTGCTCAACATGGATCCAGCTGTTTGGATGTTGGATCGCCTTCACTCCCCACTGGGATTCTCCGTCTCAATTCTATGTTTTTTCTTTGGACCATTTCTGACGCCCCACAGCAACCGCGCTGACCAAGTCATCATCTAGTCATCACTATTTGATTCTCATCACATTTTTACATTTTATCACCCTGACTTAAGACCAAGATGATGACCTGCTTATTTAAAACAAAATGACAAAGAGCTAACCATTTTGACCTGTCAGTGGTCAAAATGCTTTACCACCCATACTCACAGGTCAATATGTAACTTTAAAGCACAGTCATAATCAAAGTAACATCAAAAATAAGGAAAGTCATTACAAGTCAGTCAAATGTACATTTTTGAATCACAGTTTCAAAAATGCATGATTTATTAGAGAACTGCTAAAAAGGAGGACAGGTTCATGTGACTCTTATCAAATCAGAAATTATATAGACAATCTGACAATTTCACAGTGTTGTATGTAAAACCGAAATTTAAGGTAAAACCTGTAACCTGTATTTGAGTAACTTTACTTTCTAAACTGTTTATTCTGCTACATCATTTTCAGTTTATCAGCTATGGCTGAAGTTGTATTAATGGAGAGAAATGATAACAATAATGCACAGTAGAGAACGGAACAGGTATGTTAATGATTTTCAAGGAAATGTTGGACAAAAAATCATTCAAAATGTTTTTTTCTGTTTGGTTCCCTGATCAGATGGATTTTCTCATTTCTGCACTTCATAGCTGCTGATTGATTTGAGGGCGGCTCCTCTTGACCTGAGACCTTTGTTCCCCAGCTTTTTCCTCATATTTAGAGTTTGGTGTCTTCTGACAACATCTGGACAAACATAAAAATGCAAGTGGTCATCTCACCCATGATGAGGATGTGCAGTTTCAGCACATCTGCATCCATCACACACATGTTGCCAATTAATCTACATGAAGCATTTGAAGGACTGACTCATTATCTGAGCTTTTTTTGAAGGCATAGTTCTACTAGCATACGTACGTTTCCGAAATCAAAGTAAATAAAAGAAATACTGCACCAAGTACTCTGGTGTTTACCGGGTAAAGCAGTTTTTTAATGAGCCTGACTGACCTAAAACAGAAAAAGTTTAAATCTCATTAAAAAAAAGAAAAAAAACATTTATTTTCAGAGTGTGTAAATGTCTGGTTTTAACTCTCAATGGGAAGAGAGCTGCAGTTTTCTCTCATTAGCTTCATGTTGACAGCTAATGCTATGTTCAATTCATATGTATATTTACAAACATAATTAAAAAGAAACATAATTACAGAATGAAAACACTTTCAAAATCACAAACAAGCATTTTGCTGAGGGACCTCGCTTGATTATTCATTATGCTAAAGTTAGTTTCTGTTCCTGGTTGGTCTGGTTTTACAGGAAGAGCTCCAACATGTCAGGTTGACAAGATCAGGCCTGTAAAACATTTAAAATGAATAAGTTGTCATTTGGCCAGAGGCCTGGAGGGTCAGTCTTACCCAGGGAACTGCTGCATGTGACTGATTGTGTCCGGCAGCGGCATTCCAAAGCTCTCAGGCAGCAGGAGGCTCAGCAACCCTGCCACAGCGGTCAGGCTTCCCATTAGGATGTAAGGCAGGGAGACCGAATAGGTTCCTGTGTCGCAACATCAAACGAGGAGAAAGGATGGTGAAAAACAACCTTGTCTGCAATCAATGGACTGCTCAGCTGCTGGAAACAACAAGACAAACATTTAAAGTCAGACAGTTACAGAGAGCTTTTGTCTGCAAGTGACTGGTTAACAGTGTATTTCTGCCTTGGGCTCTTCTTGGTTGTAATATGTGGTTTCCTCCTCGATTACAAAGATTTTAAAGCACAGCAGGTGGCGTTACACAGATAAGTCCTCAATTCCAGTGCCCTGTATTCATCTCCATCAATTATCTACACCTGCTTATCCCTGTAGGGTCAGTAAAGCTGGTGACCATATCCAGAGACAGACGCACACACTCACCCCTATGGGCATCTAACATGTTTGTGGGCTAAAGCGTTAGCACCCGATAAAAACCAAAACATAAACGTGAAGAAAATGCAAATTCCCCACAGAAATCAAACCACAATCTGAGCTTCCGACCTTCTTTCTGCAGGTCGGTAACGATGAGCTCTGGAGATTTAGTTTTACCTCTCTTACCATTCTGCTGACTGAATGGAGATGAGTATCAGGACTTTGGGTTGTTTTTGGATTTTGGGCTCATAGTTTTGATTATTATCTGTTTTCTTCTGCTTCCTTGTGTCTGTTTTTTTTCAGTCTTAGTTGATCTAGTTATATTTTGTTTATTTATTCCTTGTGCTTTAGTAATTATTTGTTTCAGTTAGATTGGTTTTCCATGTTCCCTTGTTTGTTTACTCTCCCTCGCCCCTTGTGCCTTCCTCTCTCTCTCTCTCCCTTCAGCCTGCTTTCTGCACTGCAAAAAGACAAAATGTTACCAAGTAATTTAATCCAGTTTCTAGTGTAAATATCTTGGTACACTTGGAATAAAACAAAACTTACTTACAAGTAACGTTTTTAAGCAAGTTATATTGACTTAAAACGCTTATTTTAAGTCAATATTTCCTTAATATTTTTGAAAGATCTCCAGTTCCATTGGTAGATTATTTCACTTAATTCATTTTTCCCATGTTACAAGTGAAATAATTTACCAATGGAACTAGAATATTAAGAAATTACTTAAAACAAGTGCCTAAATCTTGCTTAAGTTATTTTAAAGTTAGTTTTGTAATTTTTTAAGTGTACTAAGATATTTGAAGTAAAAATACTTGGTGAGATTTAGTTTTTTGCAGTGTGATCTCTCCCCTCACACCTGACACCTGTTAGCCAATCAGCTCAGGTCTGTTGTTCCAGCCCTCCCAGTATTTAGCCTCCTCTCTTCCACCCACTCCTTGCTCCTTCTTCTTGTCCTACTCCGTTTGCATCATGTTCCCTGGATCCCTGCAGCCTCCTCCCAGTTTTTTGTACGTTTTTTGTATTTTCAATTAAAACGTTTTCTTTATCTCCTGGTTGTTGACTTGCATTTTGGTTCCTTCCATCATAATAACGAGATAAACTTTATAATCCAATCTTTTTGTTTTAACTATTTCTGTAAACCAGATGGTTTACATTTTGTTTACGTGAATGCCAAGTTTTTATTTTTCTAGTTTGAAGAATGCCTTTGTGCCACATACTCGTGCCCCAGAAACACAAAGTTGAATGTTGCTACTTAAAATTACAGCTAAAAACATATTTATTCAAAGGCCTTTTAACATATTGACACCTGAAAATACTAATTAAAACTAGAAAGGTGTTTCAAGAAGGCAAGAGAGATCAGGAGAAAATCATAAAAACTTAGTGTAATCACGTGATACATGTATTAGTTCTTAACTTAACCTAACAAAGGAAAAGAAGATGGCAGACTTACGTAAGTAAATGAAGTATGGAGCAATAATGCTGCCAATTCTGGAGGCCGTGGAGCAGG